TCTGACTTTGAGCAGACCAGTCTTTGCAGTTATTTCAAAATGATTCGCTAGTTAGAGAAGCAGCAATTACTTTTGGTTGATCAAGTTGGTGATTCAATAAATGACATTGGATAGCAGAGACCAGTACATCACCACGATAGGCAGTTTGTATAAAATGGAAGAAATCAAAATGAAAGGGAGTTTTAATTAAGATAACTATACGTTATCTGGTTTTTGTTGAAAGTCGTACGATAGCTTGTAATTGTTCACATATTTGTCTTTTTGTCATTAGGGATAGTTGAAGTCTTTTGTTTGAACCAGCCAGGGATCGACCAAAGATCTTCCCACACTTGAGGCAAGCAAGCTATCGAGGGACAACCATCACAGTTCTTGTCCCGGAAAAGACTTTCGACGCTGTCTAAATAATCACGTAAGTTTGGTCAAAGCATACAAAGTCATGTGATAACTTATAATATCAAGAAAACCTCAATACATAAAACGACAGCCACTGGTTTAAAGGCTACCTATTTGGAAAGGCATATAAATAATGAGACAGGATTAAAAACGTTTGTGAGGGCTCGACCCTCACTTAACTTAGGTTAGTGGTTTAACAAAATAACATTAGAACAAACTGTAAAAAAACAGTTTGAAAGTGGTCGATTCAATACATAGGTATTCAACTTAAACTTTACTTTAAAAAAAACACTAAACAAATAAAAACAAATGACACAAGTTATTGGTTTAAGAGTATTCACAGTTATTTAAAGAGGGTAGGAATGCTCTTTACCGTCAGGCGTCAAACGGTCATTTCCGGCTACCGTTAGCGTCAAATTGGTTAAAATCTTATCGTGATTGGTAAAAAATCAATATCGGTCTCAAAAAATTATCCGTTACCGTTATTTTTTGGAAAAAAATTAACGTGATTCGTCAAAATCAGTCGATTTTTTTTATCGTCATAAATAAAATGTACATTTTATCGTCATGCCCCAAAAATTACCGTTAACGTCATTTGGCAAGATTTTTTACCGTTATTCGTCATGAAAGTACACTCATTAAAGCTAGGTCAAAGACTAGTTTCAAAAAGTAAGTGTATATAAATATAAAAATAAGAAGATATGGTATGGTTGCCAATGAGACAACTCTTCACTAGGGACCAAATGACATAGAAGTTAACAACTATAGGTCACCGCACGTCCTTCGACAATGAACAAAAACCATACCGCATAGTCAACTATAAAATGCTCAAAAATGACAAATATAAAACAATTCAAACGAGAAAACTAACGGCCTGTTTTATGCACAAAACAATGAACGAAAAACAAATATGTTAGACAGCAACAAACGACAACCACTGATTTAGAGCCTCCTGACTTGGGACAGGCACATACAGACAGCAACCAACGACAACCACTGAATTAGAGCCTCCTGACTTGGGACAAGCACACATACAAAATGTTTTCAAAGACTAAAGAAATATCAAACCGTAAATCTCTTATTGATGTATTGTGAAAACTTCATAAATACTAGTAGTTTAAGAAAGTATACCTGTGTGTTATGCGAAAATGTAAGTATCGACTGGTATAAGAATATATACGTTATTAACTGGATAGTTCATGTATATGTTTTGGTTATATATTTTAAGTTATTAAATATAAAATCAATATTAGTACTGATAAAGAAAATTATATTCAAAGATCTTACTGCACTATGTCATTGATAAACAATAAGTTTATTCAATAACTTTATATGGAACGTATCTTAAAGTCATATGAAACGAGTTTCTTGTAATTCTAATGTTATCGAAATTGGTAGCCAATACACCATATATACTAAACTAAGTCCTGTATGCACGTTTTTCATATTCATTACGAATCTATAACGTATCATCGACAAATAATATTTCATTCAGTGATTGTGGATCTCAAGCTAATTAACTTTCGATTTGTTGCCGAAGTTTACCGGATCGTGACATTGATAAACAATCAACACGTGACAAATAAGTGAATTGATAAAGCCATGATATTTTCTTTTATATTTTCCATGCGTTCCCATTTGTTAATTAAAAATTTCCCTGACAGTTTTAATTGATTTGTTGTATTAAATTAGTCCTTTAAGAATCAGTCATTACTATTTATCTTCAAGGCCACGTTTGTTTACATTCTTTCATCACAGTTGTCGCCTCGCACTTGCGCTGTGCCGTGGCCGAAGATCTAACGAGAAGTGACTGCATACGGGAAAATATCGGCGAATTAATGTACGAGAATACAATATTTCAATAGAAAATTTTGATAGGATAACAGATTTTCTTATGCTAGAAAGTCCCCGTTGGCTTGTTTTAAAGTAAAACTTAGTCATTCAAGTTTAAGGTTCCGTACTCCTAACAACAAAATTATTATATTTAAATTTACCTATGTACGTTATTTTATTAAACGCCATTTTGTCCCAGTTTAGAGTTGTCTTTTTGACATTTTTATAACATCTTTTTTTATTAATAATGTATCTATATTGTGTCATAGATCAAACTTATTCGTTCAGTGTATGTTTACTTGTTTTTGTTTATATGCATGTCTTTTTGATCGAGTTAAGCCATTTCAATTGATATTTTATAGTGTGTCTTTCTATGTTGTAATGTTACACTACTGTTTCAGGTTAGGGTGAAGGTTGGCGCCTGTTAAAAGTTTAAACCCGCTGCATTTGTATGCACCTGTCCTAAGCCAGGAGCCTGTTGTTCAGTGGTTGTCGTTTGTTGGTGTGGTTCATAAGTGTTTCTCGTTTCTCGTTTTTTTTATATAGATTAGACCGTTGGTTGTCCTGTTTGAATTGTTTTACACTAGTCATTTTGGGGCCCTTTATAGCTTGCTGTTCGGTGTGAACCAAGGCTCCGTGTTGAAGGCTGTACTTTGACCTATAATTGTTTACTTTTTACACATTGTGACTTGGGTGGAAAGTTGTCTCATTGGCACTCATACCACATCTTCTTATTTATACATAAATCATAATCAACTTTTTATTAAATATGAGGTTTCATGACTTTCATAAATAGCTCCATAAACAACGCCATCTTAAAATTAAGATGTAATATTTTGTTTAGTAAGCAAAACTTCCTAACAAAATTTTTGTATTTGTGAAAGAAATAAGTAAAGGTGTGAAAAATAATTTGTGAAAACGAATTAATAATTACAAATTATACATTGCTATTATTGAAAATGATACGTCACTACAGACACGGGCAAAGCGAGCCAGTTAAAATATATACATACGAAAGGCCCCAAATAATAATAATCGTCCAAAAAAGATAAGAGAATTCTATATTTTTCCTCTTTTTTTATACAAGTGTACGTTGTTGATAAATATTTCTTTTAAATGGATCTTTACTAAGTTTGGCCGCGAACCGTTATTCATAACTGTACAGTTACAATTTTGCTATTAAAATATAACAAGTGGTGTTAATAGGACTCGACGTCTATGTCACCGAAGCATAGATTGTGTCAAGGAGAGATTAACAGCTTAACTCATCTCATCAAATTCCAGTAAGTATATTTAGCATTTCATATATTTTTTATGACAAAAGATAGCTTTATGTGAGTTGCTTTAAACAATCATATGGCAATATCATTTAAGATCGTGTAGAGGTGTAGTATTGAGTCGAAAAGTCATAACTGTCAATCGAAATTAAAGGAACATTAAAACGCTTTACTTTATCCCAAATAGAATAGAAATCAGGGAACTAGTTACCAGGACAGAAACCTTAGTTGTAGATTTATCATCTGTCTGGCTTAATGACATTTTCACATTATCAGTTTAAGCGATAAGACAAAGCTTGTTGTCGTTTTAATTTCACTGACAAAGGTATAATAGAAAATATCGCAATCGTAGTCTACGCATCATAAGGATCATTTTCTCTGAAATGAATTTCTCGTCACACGATTCAATATTCGAAATCGGATGTATGTATTGCAGTATCGCATGATGAGTTATAAACGCAAAACAATACCCAAGACGGACGTCATAACTTATTATGTCTAACTGATGACCGTTTGTACTTAGATTTATGACATAAAGCATTTAACAGTTTTAAATCTATGTAAGCAAAACGTTTGTAAAAGTAGTATCATTGCAGTACAAAAGATCTGACTACTGGGCTACTTTTGAATTCTGAATTTTCCAAATACTAAGGATTTTCTATCCCAGATATATGTTATACGTAACTTAGCTGTATTCCACAAAACTTTTCGGAATTTTAGGTCCTCAATGCACTTCAGCTTCGTACTTTATTATGACGAGTCTTTTGGAGACGAAACGCGCGTGTTGGAGTACAAAATTTTAATCCTGGTATCTACATGGTGAGTTTAATTACTAACTTGCAATCGATACTATCTGGCCTTATTGCAATATACCATGGTGTGATACAAAAAAAAAATAATACTTTGCACGATATATGAATATGGGGATAAATTTGAAAACAAGAAGTTGCAAATGTTGAAGATAAGAAAAAACGGCAAAATATTTTTCCTTGTTCTTTGAGTGCCAATTTTTGTAAATTGTGTGGTTCTCTGAAACATCCAAATTGAATACCTAATTATTTTCCAGTTAGCTAGAATGTGTTTATCTTAAAACAACAAATTCAAAATGTTTGAAACCCCACAAACTTACACTGTTCTCATAAGTCGCGAAAATTGATACCCACGATGAAAAATACTGCCACAATAACATTAACCAGGATGCCAACACCATGCAGCTAAGTGTACGTCATTTGGTCTTTGGTGGATAGTTTTCTCATTGGCAACCATACTACATCTTCTTACGTTATAACACAAAAACAAAAATCTATAAGAAGGATAAAGCTGCAATTTGATAAATTTAACAATTTTGACAACTAAATGTTTCTCAAATACTGATATCGAAGTAACGTTATGCTAATACAGAAGCACTAGGCATCTGGCTATGCATCATGCTAGAGAAACCCACAGGGATTTGTAGCTTCCAGCAATTACATTGACCAAACTTGTACAAAATTAAAACATGAAAAAGGATTATTTAATGCGCAGAACTCAAATACATTATCATAGTAATCTTGAGGTCGAACAATTTAAAATTATTACAATAAAACATTTACTGCTATAATCACGAATTGGCTTCGATCATCATAGTCTTGCAATACATCATATACGTATACCCTGGCATATGTTTATTTTTAATAATAATTTTTAAACTCCAAGTGTCCATTATCATTCAGATGACCAGTTTTGACATGCTGTTGGTTGTGATAATTGCCGTTGGTGCATGTAGTTATTATGGATTCGTATGACGGTTGATGCACACAGCCTAATATATTTATCCTGTCGACACATCTGGTCGCACTTCGTTTGTATATAAATCGATTATCTTTGCATTCAAATCTGTACATTGACAATTTAAACAATACAGACAGAACTCACTATCATACGATTACTGTGGCAGCCAAAAACTTTGGTAATTCAAAGAGGGTAAAAATATTGAACAAGCAGTTATCATATAGCTTTTCTAAAAGTCTTGTTCTGTTCAGGTTGGTCAAAATTCAATTTTACGACAAAGAATTATTCATGATTTCAATTTCTTTTTTAACAAAAGTGCAATAAATACAAATTCAAGAACACATTTTTAACATGTATATATATGAAACCCAAACATGCACACATATTCGACTGCTGTGTATATTTAAAGTAAACCTTTCTGAAATGTTCACTCCATTACACGATATCTAAATGTAGCTATGAATCACAAGCTTTCTGTACATTTATAAAAAGTATACCTTGTCGTAAGTAGCAAAAAGAGTAAGCATATGCAACTAATACAAACGATGATATAAATTAATACTGGATATTCTGTCATGCCTGTTAAAGAGAACAAAAACATTTATTAAATACATTACATATAAATATTTTTGTAGAAATTACATAATTCTTATTTCAAATTTAAAACATTCTTCAAACAACTTAAATCCCCCTAAAAAAGTAAACTAGAAAATAGTGAAACAGTAAAAGCGTTTCCAAAACTTAGCTGAGCATTTAAATGTCTGTACCGGGAGAAATATCAAATATCCACCTATTTAACTGCATACTAGACTCAGCTTCTTTAATTTTGCCTTTAATTGGGAAGGCATTTATTTACCCTTCGTTTCTGTTATTCGAAATATTTGGATGAAAATTTACAAAAAATAAAATTTTTGTAATGTTTCTTACTAATAATCAACATTCTGCCTTTGGTAGGGTATCAACCACCTCGATTAAAAAACATAACCCAAAGATTGACTGGGGTATAGAAATTTATCATCCCTTGGTCTTCACCGACCGGCAGCAAAACCCTTACCAAAATGGGGTGTCCATTTCATTTAGCTGTCCGGGATGTTTAAATTCGCAGCCACGTCTTGTCATAAGGGGGACGTTACATGTATATTCGATTTGTAGAGAGTGTCGTGCTTTTTGCACTTTAAGAATCCTTGCAACAATTTTTAATGGTCCTGTAGCAAGGTTAACTATCTTTCCCTATCCAATATTCTCTATTTTTTCACTGGAATTAACATTTTCCGCCATTCTTCCAGGTGGACCCCCTATTGTATTTATTGTTAATAGAAAAACAAAGGATATGGGGTATCCATCCATGACACAAAATCAGTACATGCACAGCAAAAACACACAAAAAGCAGATGAACAGCGCTTGTATTGCTGTTCTTCATCTTAAAGTCACAGTGAGGCCTTCAACACGGACCAAAACAACTCCCACCTCACTGCAAGTTTAAAACGACGGCTTGAGCGGAATTTGCATTTGATTTGTTGTCGTCCTGAACATGATTGAAATATTTGCAACTGGACGTTAAACACCAATCAATTAATCAATCGATTCTGAAATCATATAATTTTTGCATTTTCACTTCAATATGTAAAAAATAGACATTGGGTATATGGGAAGACATTCCCAAAATAACTATGAATTAGCTGTACATGTATATCAAAATAACTTATCAATAACTACTGTCCGTATATATTTTTTCTGCTGTTTATAATCTTGATAGTTACTGGAGGCATCTTAATGAATACACCTAAGAAACCTCACGCAGCAGATAATTTACGACAACCAAAAGTGGTCGCTTTGATACCACTCTGATATTCAACGAAAACCACATAATAATTTCAATTTCGGTACATTAAGTTTAGTAACATAAACAATTGCTATTATTCGTTGTCTTCCCCAAATAGTTTCATAACAACAACGACCCTTTAAACAATTTAATGGCATCATATGGTAAGGATTAGATAGGATTAACTAAATTCTTTTGAATATCGTAGCACTAGACATATTGACAATATGCTGAAAAGCAGAAACTTTTAAGCTTCTTGAGTTATTTCGACTTCTAGTTATGCCTATAGTATTAATGTGGGTTTACCTATATTTAGTACTGTTTTTATACCCATGGCAGTAGATGGTTGTTTCATTTTCCATCCTTTATATAATTATATAGCTTTAAATGGTTAATTCTGAGAGAGTGAACATATTTCTTAGCATAGGATGGAATAACTATCATGTGAAACACTCGCTCAGGGTAGTGAAATTATGTACATTTATAACGATTATAACTTAATTCAATGTCGTAACCAATTAAATATCTACATGTATTTACAATGAAGGTTCTAAGGAACGGCGCAAATATTGTAATCATGTTCATCATCTTTCTCACATCTTTTTAATGTCTGGTAAGGATTAATATAGTCATCACCCGTCTGGACCGTTGTTCTTTCTTCGTTGTCGTCTGAAGAGCTTGTTTCAGATAATTCAATGAAGTTTGTCATCGATTCAGTGTTTTCTTTTCTTTGGACGAGTAAACTATTTTTTTCGTCGACTTCATATCTTTTTAAACATTCGTTGATATCTTCACCTACACTATACTTGACGGTAATATCGTCTGCCGGATCAATTTGGACTTCAATATTAACATCTGAACTTTCTTGAACTTTAACTTTGATATCGTTGTCACTAGACTGGTTCCGACTTTGTCCTGCACAACAAATAGTGCCAGTTCCTGGTAATGCTACTTCATATTCCGGCGAAAAAATTTTATTCAAATTATCCGATTGTTCTTCAGCTTCAGGGGTATGACACGGATTCAGATAAACGTTATCATCATCAATAACTTCGAAGTATGGCTTATCCGAAGTTGGAGAGTTGTTCTGCAACTTCTTTTCAAGAGCAAAAGATTGATGTATAGAAGACTTCGTATTAAGTTTGATTGCAAATGTAATCATTTCACTTTCGCAGATTGACTCGTAGGTTGATGAGCCGTCTTCCGGCTCTAAAGATGGCTCTTGAATAACAACGTTTTTCACATTTGGAACATTGTTTTTTATCGTCAAATTTTCTGTTCTGCATTTGCGATTGATACAAATATTGCACACAATGGACAAGCATAACACCAACACAAGACCGGCTGCAACTAGTCCATAGAATAAAAACTTTTCATCTGATGAAAATCCTGTTAAAATATGCAGATGAATGACATGATTGTTTAAAATAAATGATTGAAATGTATTATTTTCATTCTGCACTAATAATTAGCGTAAACAAAATTAAAAGACACCGTTAAGCCTACAGATTCTGACACTCAAATCATGGCAACACAATATTTCTTTGTAAAAATGATAGGTGTGTTTTGCAATTTGTAATTTGAAGCTGCTGGAAAAAAATGTCATTTTTTTTTTTCTTTTTTTTTTTTTTGCAAATTTTATTTTTGATTATTCCTTACTTATCGTCAGTATTTTTAAACTCATTTGTTTTCCTTTGCGTTCTTTGATAAGGTATTTACAGCACTTCAGATACAAGTGGACAAATTGAGCCCTCAAACCGTTAACTATTTCTAGTCTATACATTTGTATGAGTTTTTTTTTCAATAAAACTTGTTGTTGTTCTACAATGTTCGACTGTGAGAAGCAACGGGTTCTAAAATAGCAGTTTGACATTGTTCTTTGACTTTCTTTTTTCATTAGCCTTTACATGAATTATTTGCCCATGTCTCACTATAAGATTTTTTTATATCCAATTTTCTCTTATTGTTTTTCCCGAAAACTGCAATGGACCATACGATATAAACACTACAATTTTGTTTTTATGTTAATTTAAGTCTGACAATATAAATATATAGGTTTCTTGGCATGAAACTTGTATTGAGGAATTTAGTGGAAAAAAATGCTTTCAAATTCGACTCAAGAAAGAAATGTTATTTTTGGCAGTTGGACCCGTTTCAGACTCCTTATATATATTATCTTATCTTATTATAAAGAGAAAAAGTATATTGTTTTTTATTTAATAACTACGATTCTAACATACGATCATACATTTTTTCTTCTATTTTTGTTTTTATTTATTGTGGTATAAATTTACGTTTCGAATATTTAGAGAATAATGGATTTGAATGAATGCACGTATATACTAATATGGTTCCTGTTAGTATATATTCGTCGTATAAATGCTGAGAGATGCATCGGGTTTTTTTTTGGTTTTTTTTTTTTGCATCGCTAGTTATTGAAAATATCATAAACTATACATTTTCATATACAACAAAGATAAACAAGAACACATTTTCCTCATATAGTTAATATAATAAAGCTGATTGGACAGTTACAATTTTTGTTTTGCGTCTTTCATCTTAAAATTTTTTTTACTGATGTATTTATCATTCTCTTAAGTAAGTACCTCTGTCCTTTCTTGTGTCTTCGTTTTCCTTGTTGTCAGAACGGGCTGTTGAAATCTCCATTTCTTCATGAGAAGAAAATTATTTCATTTGTTTATTTTTTTTCCCTGTCTTTATTTGGTTCGACAGCATATTTATTCAAAGACATCATACTATATATTGAATTCGTATCATAAGCAATTGTATAATTGTTCTTTATCTCTCGTCATCACTGAAACCTTCAGAATCTCTCATTTACAATTATGATATGCATAATTCGTCCGATGTAATGCAGATATGTAACACGATTAGCCCAATGCTCATTTTTGAGTTCATGTCTTCCATTTTTGCTTATGCACTTTGTCTATAATATGCCATTTTGTGTTTCTTTGTTGAAACAGTTATTTGTTTTATAGTGATCAAGATTATATAACAATGTTGACATGGAGATATTTGATTAATTAAGATTGAAATGAAAGTAACACTTTAAATACTTGGTGCGTCCGAATAGCTTTTCTGGGTTTACCTTCATCAGGAACACTCAAACCTAAAAATGTGAAAGCCCCGGATGTATTTGTTTATTCTTTTTATGTCTCTTTTTTATTATATTGTTTCTTTTGCCTTCATTTATTATACATCCTGGGTCAACTTTGTCTTAGGAGTTTCTTTTTAGATTCTGAATTTATCAACAGAGAACATAAAGGCGTTCATAAATGGTCAAACTTGGCCGGAAACAATTCTGTGAAATTAATGTTTATCAATATAACAAATATATGATGAAAACAATTTAGCAAATAATATGTTTTGTAATAGTTCATTATTGCTATTTCTTACTAGCTCGGAATGTCGTTTTTGTTCTTCAAACATATGGTAAATTGAGAGGTCTCAGATGTTTTTTTCTTTATGTGCAATATCTGTCATCTTATTATGCGTAGTTGTCTTGCTATTATCCGTTCCCAAAATTTTCAAATATATAAACAACAACATTAAAGACCATCACAGTGACAGTTCTTTACCTACGCTTAAAATACGATTCCTATGTGTGTTTACAGATTCAAAACTGGTCGTGTCTTTTTCTAACAGCTGTTTTGAGAATCCATAGTCGAAACAGACTTTTAAAAACTTATTCATAAAATAAAATTGAGAATGGAAATGGGGAATGTGTCAAAGAGACAACAACCCGACCAAAGAGCAGAAATATATACACATATGATTCACATTGCCATCTGTACGACACATGTTTTCTGGAATAAACATATTTGTCATCCTGATAGTAGCTGCACTAGGTTTGTTTCATATGATGTGTTTTATTGTAACGACATGTGGTCTAGATAGCCAAAATGCAAGTTATGTTTCCTTGTTAATGTTAAAGTCAATGTATGAACAAACACCTTTGTAATTCTGAAGAAATTTATATATACATATGTATTTTGGATAATTTTGTAGATAATCTGTACAATGACGTCTGGCTGTTCAGGACAGGTACTGCTGTCATAGGAGGCAGGAGTGAACAATTTAATTTCAAGCAATACATGAAGGCAAAAGCATTTTCCCGATGTAGGAAATAAACACAGTTCTATTATTTTAGAAATAAAAAAAATTATTCATTAATGACTTTTGTTATAACAACTTAACGAACTTAACTTTTATTAAAGCCTTCTGTATTAACAGGAAGGCGCCTCTGATATCCAATCGTCTTTTATAAATGCACCATACGGTTGTGAAATATGTAAATAAAGTTATGTTTAGTCCTTCTGACTCATTGCATATTAAAAAAGTGTAATTGTTACAACTTTTTAAAAACTACCGATCATTCAAAAATATAATGTTATTAAAATAAATGTATACATATTCGACTAACTAAAGACGGGATATTTGGTAGAAAGTGCATGTGTCATAAACTTCTGAAATTACCTGGAGGTTATTTTATTCATTGATCTGCAAATGAACAGATTTCGAAAGTCAAGTCAGGCAAAGCTATCAGTTTGTTTTCAAATTTAAAAAGTTTTGCCTTTTTCTCTATACTGCAAGGTAAAGATGACACATTGTAATAAACATATATCAACTTTAAATGTTCTTTGCTTGAATTCTTAAACAAGTGTTATGATTTTGTTACTTTATTAAACTGTCAGGTGATTTTTTTCCCCTAGCAACTAGACTGACTTCTGTGTTCAATGTTTATCTATGATCCATGACTTCACAATAAATGTATTTCTGAAGTCTACCTAACAATTTGTCTGTGCAGCTGATTGTATATGAAAAAATAAAAATTAGAAAACGAGGAAAACTTACGAAATCGGCATGAAAAAGCAGCATATAACTTATGGTAACTCTTACTGAATATCGAAATGTTTTAATGCATCATATGTTCATAGCGAAAAATTATTTCTCGTGTGGTTTCTCGATTATAAAAAAAAATTTGAAAGATACATGTTGGACGACAAAATGTATTTTTATATCTGTATTTTCCGTTTGTATTAATTCAATTTCAAAATTAAGATTCCAATATAATGCCCATATATAGATCCTTATTAACATCGACCTTTTATTAAATCCTTAAGATTCGAACATGTCCAGACCTTCCAGAAAACGTAAAAGGACAAAAAACAACGAAAAACGAACACTTACTTTAAACATAGTACTTCAAATTTCTAGTTTTTCATTAAATATTTCCCGTTTGTAATGAAAATTGATACATTTTTTATGGTTTGAATTTTAATCTAGAATGCTACGAACCTGTTGACATTTCCGGCCGCACAAGTACTGTTGATTTTTCATTTCTGTTGTATGTACTGATCACATCTGAAATACATCAGGAAAACCCAACATTCTGAATACAATCCCAGATTAACAGACACTTTAATACGAACTTATAGAACAAAGAATAAAATTATTTTACCAGTACGCTCCAATTGTCCATTTCCCCGTTCGATATAGTACCATTGAAAGAAATTGAGGAAAATTTTCCAGAAGAATTAGATAAATCAAGGTCAAGAAAGAAGAAAAGCCAAAGACCAAAACAAAATCTGCAAACAAAACGTAAAACAATTAACTATAGTTGATACACTTGGAACCTCCCTTAAAATAGGTTGTAGAACTATCATGATGATGCTCCGAAAGAGGTACCCAATTCTGCTCCACTATTGTAAATGTAATTTTTATTATAACAAAACCTATCCGGAGACTAGTTTTATTTCGAATCGTGCATGTAACAGTCTGTTGGGACATGTTCACTTAGTTTTTCTCACTTTCGAGATAATGCAATTTCTTAAATTTTTCACTAACTAATAGTTTTTATATTCAAAATTGATTTACATCGATAAACTACTGCTTCTAATTTTGGGAATATAAGATAGAAATGAAATATATTATCAAGCCATGTCAGTACCGTGACACTGTCTACTTGGCGGATGGTACACTCAAAGAGTGGTAGTAAAACAACAGCAGCACATATCCAACGATAGTAAAACACGTATTAAACCAGTTTCCTCGAGCATTATACATGTTAAAGGAATAACCTTTATCAGAAAAAAGAAGAGATATGGTAGTATTGTCAGGGAGACAACAATCTACCAAACGCTTTAGGAAAAGGATATCAACTGTTACAGGTCACCGTATGATATTCATCAATGAGAAAAGTTCATATTCGATAATAAGTTATACAAGGTTCTGTGATACCAACTATGAAACAATTCAAAAAAGAAAGCTAATGGTCTGATTTAGCCTAATATCATTTATGAAAAATCCATTATACCGGACGTAAGCCAAATAGAGACAATTAACTACAGGTTTCTGATCTTTAGATAAGGACGAAAACATTGTTGCTGGTATAAACTTGTTTTGGGTACACTCTAAACAACACCTTACATAAGTCAGAAATATGTTTCATCTAAGTAAATTTTTCTAGACATTTGTCACCTTATTCAACCTATTTTCTTGATTTTAAATGTGGTGCTTCTCTCCAACCCCCACCACTTAACTCGTACAGGTTTTCTTACAGACTGAACAATTCGTCTTTTTATAATTTGCCATTAAGTTCGTCTTTCAACATAGCTAAAAACATACATAGATATACACAAACCGATCACATTATATGATGAATAAGCCAGTGAAAATATTAAAATTTATGGAAACGTCACAAACAGTCAACTTTTTATAAATGTGCAATGAAAATATGTCACGGTCATCCATTTCTAACTAAATTCATAGAAAGCATGTACTATTGTCAAATTGTTCTAACAATGAGAAGAATAAAACAAAACATCAGTTCGATTTTTACGTAAGTAAAGTTCAGCACGGTTGCAATTGAGGTTCTCCTCATTACAGAATCTTAGGTTGTTTCGAGGTCGTTCAAACCAATTTTTCTATGATTCAGTATGAATTCACAGATAAATTTGTCGAACTATCTTGTAAAATAACGATACAGCGACAAAATAAACATTAAATTGAAACTTTTGTATGTTTCTTGAATAAATGTCGGTGAAAAAACTAGTTGCAATTTGAGTACCCTCACGACAACTCCTTTTCAACTGGTAATGAACTATTCTGTTTTTGTCATAAATTTTATGATGGAATTTCATTTACAATACGAAAATTTCCAAATCAAAAGATGACACAAGTGCTATCAATATTAGTTTTACTTAAAATCATTTCTCTATGGTTCATTTCTGTAGTATAATTCTCGGTTGTAACAAATATCATCGAGGTAATATGAGTAGTTATTGAATAAGACGAATCTTTAGAATCCTGCACATATTTTTTTTTTGAAATAATCTATAATTGTAAATCCCGATATCTAAAATTGAGTCAAGATAATATATGTAAATATGTTCGACAGAATTCCGACAAAATTAAAATGTCAATTATCTTTAAATCGACTGATTAGTGCAAATGATTTAATAGTTAGACAAAATGCAGGATTGATATCGGAAATGCTTGAATGTTGATAACTTTCATTTATGTTGATAAACTCAAGTGAAACTTTCAGTAAGCATATTCTCTTTACTACTTTCGTCTCCATTTATAACACAGTGAACTCATAGACCAAATCAGAACAGCAACATATGTGTGAATAAAAACCATAAATGTTGGTTACAATTTATGATAATGTACATATAATAAGATGCATATACAAATACAATTGATCGAAAATGTGTCTATTATTTACAAGAGATCAAAAGGACTTATTTCCCATATAATGAAGTAAATAAAGGCAAATCATGAATTAAGTAAATAAAGGCAAAGCATGCAAAAGTAGCTTTCCGATGTTTAAATCTCATACATCCACTTAAAAGATCCAAACCAAAGTATCAAACAAAACCTGTGGGAATCGCATGAACTATATCAACAGAAGCTCTAAATACCTCAAGTGAAAAAAATGTGAAAAGAGACAATCAACCGCATTATTTAGGTTAATTATAACTTACAAATAAAACATTCATCGACAAAAACTGGACTACATGTATTTGTAGATTTCTATCCGCGAAAGGGCATATCAAGTGTGTAGAAGTATCAAACAGAAAATGAGAGAGAGAGAGAAAGCAATCCGTCCCCTAATCTAAGAAAGCAAGGAAACTACAATTGTATAACTCGAGCAAATTCTACTCATTAGATCGATACCTCGATCAAAACACTTAAAGTTCAAACTTTTGAGAGCTCTTAATTTTCGTATGAATAATGGTTATATTATTTGAAGCAACATAAAGCAGATAATTTTAATCCAATAATTACTAGTAGTTACAAATTTCAAGCGCAGTTATATATGCGAGATCTGACTGGGCAATTTAGTCGTTTCAGTAAACAGTAATACATTGAATAAAAGTAGATGTTGGGTATACGTTAATGAGAGAGCAGCAAAATAGTCAATTGACTCAAATGACCAGAAGACATTCCGAGGTCAGCATACAGTTTGCAAAACGATAGATATCTACACATTATGTCAAACTCGTGCGTGTAACTTCAGCTACGTTTTCAAATTGTAGATAACTAGATTTTAAACTACAGTCCTTCAACCAACTTGTAACCTTGCTGTGGGATTTTTTGCTTATACATCTTAACTTAAAAATAATGAATAATACCAACTTAGTAGTGTTGTTGATTGGGTGTTGTATGTCTTGAATGAAACGGATAGATATGTTGGGGACGCTTCATCTAGAAAAGAAATTATCCTTCATTATATACATAAGAAATTTCTCCTTTTAAATACATATACATTATATACACATGTGCATTAGATTTGGTATCAATTGCATATATAATAATTCCTCGATATCGACACAGATTGACAATTTAAAACTAGAATCAATGAAAAACGTGATAATTTCAACTTTTGAATAGTTAAGTTCCAATTCTTCAGCAGTAAAAATAACATTAACGGTAACATATCCTTTGCCTATCGTATGGATCCGGAGTTACATATATCAATTGATACGTTCGAATCGTGCATATTCACACTACACGGATTTCATTAGCAGAAGTATGCTCCTTACACAAAACTGCTCCATCGCAAATTGGGTGACCGATACGATATGTATGTGTCTCACTAGTGTTAGTAGTGAAAGTTTTCGCTGTCTTAGATCTTTAGATACAAGAATAATCGTTTAATCTGTTATTTTACCGAATGTGTCCTATTACCAATTGTGTCATATGGACTGGGTATAGATTGTCATGACGGGTGATGCATTCATAGCGGGAGACGCTTACAATGTCGACCCAACTTATGTCGCTCCTTTTGGAGTTCGTGCGATTCCTTCAGCTTTTTTGTGTTGCTTATCTTGATTTGCCTTCATCGATTTATGTTATTTGAACATTGGTAAAATAATGTTGCCTTTATTTATAATAGCATGTAGTTTTCAGTCAATGAAATTGCCTGTGTTGTGAATTGTTATAACTATGGAAAAGCAGAACGGACATTATCAATTGACAATGATATTAAAAAGATATTGCTAAAGACTAACGCAGACCGCTTAGTTGACAGTGAGATCATCCTGCTCTGCCAGTGTCAATATAAGTTGGCATACCGTTTGGCTAAGCAAAGATGCAGATCGTATCAAATTGGAGGCAACAGAAGTTTACCGAAGTTCAAATCTCACAAATCTATTAAGAAGATTCTAATTGTGCACGTTAAAAAAACTGAAGGAATTGTTTGAACCCAAAAAGGAGCGAGACTGGGGATGGGTCCACAGGGTGCGCGTCTCCTGCTATGCATAACCAACCATGCGAATCCACACTATGAGAAATGTTTCCCGAAAATGTTTCCTCTTTGATACATGTATGTACGTAGACCCAAAAAGTCACTTAGATTTTCAAAATCGACAGAAATAAATACAAAGGTCCCGGCGTGTCAGATTGACCTTCCCGATATTTAAAACGAAACTAAGTACAGAATCAAGGCAGGTAACGATATAAATGCAATTAGGGGAATTTTTGAAAACATACTGTCTTCTATATTTAAAATATATTTCTTAAATGTTACCGGGGACCGCTGCGAGACATTTCTGGTCTTACAATGTATTTCGATCTATTTTGTAACATAATTGGAAGATCAGGCTTTCTGTGAAACAAATTGGACCTTATTCGTGCGATGAAAAGTTTAATCAAAAAAATGTTTTCGTGTATTTGATACTTAACAATACCTTTAACTGTGCTTTGTTCTCTGTATAATTCTGTGACAACTGTACTTTTGTTATCTGAAATATTTACAATATGAAGTTATTTAACAAAACTAGGGTGGATTTAAAAGAGACAAAAAAGATGTCAGGCTTATAATTTGATATACCAGACTAGCATTGCGTCTACAAAAAAAACTAATCAGTGGCGCTCGAATCAAAACAGTCAAAGGTTCAACTTAAAAATAATGTTGAATGCCATTAAAACCCAAAATTTCCGAAAGGTTGTACCAGCTAAGGCAAACTATATAATATAAATAAGAAGATGTAGTATGAGTGCCAATGGGACAACTCTCCATGAAAGCAACTATATAGTTCAACGTACAGCCGTCAACTATCGTATAGTAAGCTATGATATGGCAAAATGTGAAACATTTCAAACGACAAAACAGTAAGACGTTATAATTATGGTGAGAAAAACATGACCTGGTCCAATGCCAAACAATAATTTTCGACAGAATGTAGGACCGTAAGTGTTCATTTGGGTATAGGAATAAATATTTAGTTGTGTTATGCGACAATTAGTGGTCGTAACTGTATAGGAATAAATATTCAGTTATGTTATGCGAAATCATTTGAATAAGTTTTTAACAGGTACAGCCAAACTTCCAAACATAATGTTTGTACTCATGAACAAATTTTGTAAATGTTTTCTGTAATTTATGGAAACGAAATCATAATTTACCAGTGATACGCTGTCTATGTTCATCGAAATTTATAACGTTACTGCAGATAATTTCATGGCGAACGAGTTGAAATACATGAAAACGGATAATATAAGGCCAAAGGAACATCCCCGTCCAATGAAAGAAAATTAACGAAAACTCGTCCTCTTTGTCGTAGTTTTTTGCTTAGAGTTTCCCGATGACAGATAATAAAATTGAGAATGGAAATGGGGAATGTGTCAAAGCTTCTTATATTAGATTTGATTAAAGTAAGTTACTTTTGTTATTGCGAACCAAATGAGACTTTTCCACAGAGTCATCTCCTATTGGTCAATCTATTTAAACTTTAGTCAGTTCTACTGTCCCATTGAATAAATAGAATAGCTATTGTTCTATTGTAGTTTATTAACTAGGTCCCAGTGAATAAACTACACAGATAACAATAGCTGTTGTATTTATTCAATGGGACAATAGAACTGACAGAAGTTTAAATAGATTGACCAATAGGAGATGACTCTATGGAAAAGTTTCATTTGGTTCGCAATAAATGTCGGCAGTATATTTAGAGAATTTTTTATTATTTAACGCATACATGACATCAACGTAACAGTAAGTGGTGATGAATTTATCAATTAAATGCCATTTAGACGCATCCTTGGTGAGTTTTGGTATAAATTGTGATTCATACTAAACAGGAACAAGTCTTCTGTTTAATTGGTGCAATTGGTGCACATATAAATACCTACAACCTACTGCTGACCCCCTTTATTACCAAAACTGGCATAGAGGTTGTCAAATAGTTAATTTACAGCTTTATCATCTACCCATATTTCCAGTATACATATCTGGCATATATACCATTTTCATAACAGAAGAAAAATTTATATGAATTGCTTTGCTTTAAATAAATCACTTTTGTTAATACCATTTTCAGAAAAATATGTCATGCTTCCAAGTGAATCACAGAGAATGGAAAGCCGAACACTACTAGTAACAACATATGTTTTGGTTCTCACCTGCAAGCTTCAAAACAACTTTCCTCTGTACTGCAGTGTTTTTAATCTGAAATTCACACCAGTTCAAGCCCAGATCGCTCTCGGTAATGTTTGAAATTTCCAAATTGTACTCTCCTATGGTTTGGTCGCCTTTTATTTTGAATCGTTCTTTTTCGTTGATGTTATTGTTAATGAGAGAACCATCTGATATGATAATATTTTCATTCCTTTTCCATATTAAAGTGGACACACGCGAGTCTATGAATGGAAGTATTACTGTTTCACCAAGACTTGCATAAACTGTGTGTTCTTCATAGTTAACACAGTGAGAAATGTCTAATAAAAAAATATATCATAAATTGTCAAAAATATATGAGCAAATATATTACTAATAACTACAATTAATATTAATATAATCAAAGAATGAGTTCTATTCATATTTTTCTCGTATTGAACATAGTTGTCTTACATATTGAAGTATTTATTATTTTCTATGTTGAAAAGTTTTGTATGGCATTTTTTACAACGATCGGTGAAAACATATTTCTGAAAATTCTTTGAAGCAGAATTACATTATAAAGTTTCCATAGCTACAAAAAACATCAACAGTTTAAATATACGTTTTGTATTTCTTTTGCTGTCTTTGTGAATACAAGATCAACTTATTACAAATGCTACATATGAATAACTGTTCTATTTATTGTCCTCGTCATATAAAGCTGAGGACAGAGTTGTTGGTGTTGCCGACAAATTTTGTTTAGTCTGTTTAGGTAAGCGGTGCATAAATGAGCAATTTCATGGATTTTTTTTATTAACTATTGCAAGCATTAAGAGCATATGGAACTGCATAAGAATATGATTAAAACATATCTTAGTCACTTTTATACTTTCCAAGATAAACGATCTGAATATCCTGAAAATACAGAATTTTGAATGCACGTCCATACAAATATTGCAAAAACATCAAATGATTTGAGTTTAAATTGCTTTTTTTTAAAACATGTCTTACGAATTTTCTTTGAAACCGATGTTGTTTTTTTTTTGCCAGTCGAACTTCCGTTTTATTTATAGGAACTTTGTGCGGGTCTATTTTTATGTATTAAATATTCGAATAGAATGTGTAGGACCATATGTAGAGAAATAATAATTTAGAGTCTAAATTGCTGAATTTAGTTCAGTTTGAGATATACGCAATGCAGATATTTGAGGGCTGCATCCCTCTTTTTTTTTGTTTTTGCTGATTGACTGTCATATCCACGTATATCCCACAAGTCTTTATTCATTTTAATTACCTTGAATCCAAACTAATATGTTAACCATCAAAAAACATTTCATTTCACTGATTGTTTTCTGCAAATATAAAGATTAGTAGTGCAATGAATATGAAAATATGAAACGAAGATTAAACCAATACTGTGACTTCCGCCTATTCATTAACCATGGTTTCCTTTTTTAGAACCAACGGTGTCTGCAATCGCATTCAATTATTTGCTTTGTTCGTTTAATTTAATCAAGTCTGGATCTAGGTAAAAAGACCAAAATACAAACAATTTTAACGGTTCACAAAACACAACATAGAAAACTAAAGACTGAGCAACAAGAATCCAACTAAAAAACTGGGGGTGATGTCAGGTTCTCCGGCAGGGTAAGCAGATCCTGCTCCACATGTGGCACCAGTCGTGTAATTTGAGAATTGAATTACATTATTTTTCTTTTAGTAACATAATTTTTACTGGAAAATAAGTTCGAATGGATAAGTTTCTGAATCATATTTCCTATAATTAAGTTCATACGATTTTGTATAAATGTTCGTCTATGATCTAAATCATCACCTTGACTGTATATTTTTTTATGAAAAGAATAGTCAGTGAATCATTTTAAAGAATAAAGTGGCTGTTTAAGCTTTTTAATAAAAGGGTCTAATTTAGAAAAGAATTTTATTTTGGAAAACTTGTCAAAGCAAAAGTTTAAGTACGAGACACAAGGGATTGAGTTCAGACATACAAATAAAATGTTTTCCTTTGAAACTCCAAAAATCATTTAATTTATTATCTTCAAGTTGCAAATCGTTTTCACTTTAAATGTATCTTTCCCTGTAAAGACAATGTTCAGCTGTTGTTGCTATCCATCATTTGCAGGTACGTTTATCCATCTTTTCATAGACATGATAATACCACTTGTCACAATTTGATTTTACAAATGTCATGCTATTGTACATATGCATCAGATATCATTTCTACGAAAGACAGATAGGGAAGTTCTTTTGAAAACATCATTTCAAAATTGACATGTCTCAGTTCGAAGTGGTTTACAAAATATATTTATAGCTTATGAAATTACACAATCGAAATTGCTTAAATTAATAACATGTTTGTTTTCTGTATCAAATTCAATATAATTATAAATTTATGAACACCTTCCAAATTCAACATACCTAAAGCTTTGTTCATATAAAGATGATATTTTTATATCCATACACTCTAACCTTTTTCGCCGATTATATAGAAATGTGAAATATGAAAATTGTATGTAAAGTGTTTCCATTTCCGATGTCTAAGTACAAGCTATTGTCTGTAATTTAAAAAAAAAACAATTGAAATACAAGGAAAATATTATAAAATTTATTGATTAATCCCCACACATTATGGATTTAAATATAGTTGAATTTATTATCATTATATGAATTTTGCCACCAGCCCTTCCTGCTTAAATACATGTGTACTTATAGTCATTATAGGCCTTTTATTTTAATGCCGTTTTGGTAAACCAAAAGGAGAAAATAAAGGAACAAAATGAAAATGTGTTATAAAAATGATAGTCCCCTATATCTAGATATTACATTTCTATATTGATATAGATAAAAACACACAAACGCATTGTATCAAACCAGGAAAAAGATATAAATATCGCTATAAATGAATGATTAGTATCTTTGTATATCTACCTCACAATATACAACCTTTTCCCACGATTTTTTGTCGGTTTTATTGTTACGTGATCTTTCTGTTGGGTTGGACTTCCTTTTCATACATTTTTACACTTGTGTATTTAATAGTGTTGCTGCATGGAAAGTTTCCATAACAAAGTGAAACATAATTTCTATGTTGCATTTACTTCCTTTGAATCGCCTTTTTATTCCCGAAGAACCAAAATTTAGAAACCACAACGAAATAAGTTGTTAACAGATCTATCACTGAATTTGTTCAACAAAAAGGAGCCCAAGACTATCGGAAACCGTTTTAATGTATTTGAGGGAGGTAAATTAAATAATTAGCATCTCGGGGGCCTATTTCTTATAGCTAAGATACTTTTATAATAAGGATTTGTGTTGTATGTATATGTATATACGCTAATTTTCTTTTCCCTCGATATGCTAGTTCCTTAAACAGATAAAGAGAGAATATATATTGTTACATTATGAAAAACAGTTTTTTAGTAGTCAAGGAAGCGGAGCTGTGTTTCCGATAGGGTGTCGTTTTTTTTTTTTTTATTTAGCAAATAAACGATATATTTTCATTAACCTGTTGACCCTTAATACAACTTTTTCTTGAATGTATATCTTTAATCGTGTTCTCTTACCCTCAATGCATTAAGAATGAAAAGGAATAAAGTTCAAAGCACCAAGGAATATTAAAAAAAACAACATCCATTTATGCCGGCAACTTAAACGGGAAATGTATCAGTGTTAGCATATATTTTTCCTTCATACTAGTAAGTAAAATAAGTATGCAAAATTAAATATATTTATGTGCGATTCGCGTATGATTTTTGAAGTATTTAATTTATTCTATTGTGTTTTCACAATAGTTGTAAACCGATTTTGGCGGTCAGTATATAAAGAAAGTTTGCACGAGATTTATTTATCGAGGTTTGGGCAGTGACCATTGTCGCACGTTTCTTTTGTATTGAAGTCTAATTTTCATTAAAAATTCTGTTTTTTTTCAATGTATTGAAGTTGTATGTAAAGAATTAATATGTTTTGTATATATTTGGTAGATGTTTGATTGCTGTCTTTTACCGGTATTGTTGATCAAATTGAGATTTTGTGATGTTTATAAAGGACTTTTTTCGTAGATGTGCATGGTTTCCGTATTCAAAACATGAACTGTTATTTATGTTTGATAAAATATTGTGATCTCTGGATCTTATTAAAATTGAGATGGTCATTGCGCCTAACAGTACCTAAATATGTATTTAGTTTTCTATTATGCCTTTATCGTATAAAGATACATATCTGAATGTGCTCAGATATGTATGCTATACAAAAATCTAGAGAGATTTAGCACATAAATACTTTATGTTCGTTTGAACACAGTGAATTTAGAACATAAAAGGTTTTGGATTAGGAATTCCACATTATCTAGATTGTTTCAAAAGACCATTCAGTAAAAATAAAGTTTTACAAATGCACTTCACAATATTTCACCAGGTCTCTCTTTCTAATTGTTCTGGACTGGATCATTTATTTCTAAGCTAAGCAAACGTTGATTGTCCGCGCTTAAATGTAGTATTATGGTCTAAATCGTCGTGTGAATCTCATAGTGTTATATGTCCACTTTTGATTAAAATGGATGTTTGTAATCAAAGTGCAATGGTCTACCTCCCTATACAACTATTATACGAGCTTTCAACACTCTGCGAGTTTTTGTCAGAACTACACACTCCCATTGGAGTATAATGGCTTATTGATATTCATCTGGTTAGTTCAGAGAAAAATATTTTTATAGTGTTGTATCTCCACTATTTTTCATGTATTTTTGCTGTTAAATAATTGTTATCGTCATTATCTTAGTAGTACTATCATTAATGGTTTGCATGGTTTGAGAACAATCTATGAGTAATTCTTAGCAAATCCAGCAGTACAGAATTGGGGATATTACAAAGTTAAAAAATCCATTGTCTATCTCAAATGGAAATATAGGGAAAAATTCTAAAAATTTCGAAATGTCTTTATAAAAATAAGAATATGTGGTATTATTGCCAATGAGACAACACTTCACGAGAGACTAAATGATGTAGAAGTTAACAACTATAGTTTACCGCAAGATCTTCAAAAATGAGCAAAATCTATACCGCATGTTTGATACCTAACTATACGTACAGTGTTTTATGTGTATTTAGGATGATGTCGGATTGACATTCATACGGAGTCAACATTTCTTTTTTTTCATAACTGAATTTCATTACTCAGTGGAATTTAAATGTATGTGAAGTTAGCAGCCGGTTCGTTATTCGATATTCGATATTCAATATCCAACCGGCTGCTAGCAGTCGGTTGGATATTCAAAATTTAGTTGAAAATCATAAAAAAATTAAATACTTGATAACATTAAAAGCACGATTTTCATAGTTAAGAGGACTGATAAGATACGTAGGAAATCGTTTAATAACCTCATCAAGCTGTCGTAAATTCTGGTTGTCGAATATATAAACCCTTTTCTAAGTTGCATATTTGTCTTTATGTAATATAGATTTTTATAAATAAAACAACTTCAGTTATGTACTTTTATATATGATATTTCCTAACACAAAAGGAAAAACCTATAACTCTAGAAACATTTAGAAATATAAATAGAAATATTTATGGAAAGCCAAAAATGGAAATATATAGTGAAAACCTACCTGAGACCGCTTAAATGAGGGTGAGACCCCCCTGGTCTTTCAATGTTCATAAAATTCAACTTAATCATAGACTCTGTATATGTAAAGGTTGTATTAGAAGGATTTCCCAGAATAATGTCATCTTCGATATCTACGGAGGGCTTAGATTGTCACTTTTCAGCTAAAAATTGTCAAAATTTTAGGACAAAGGGCACAGGGCAATGGTGAGAGCCCCTGATCTCTCAATCTTTCTAATATTATGCAGACATTTAGTTAATAGGTAGATACAAACGTGACTAAAAGGAATTTGGGTTCACTTTCTGTCTTCCATGTTTACGGAGCGCCCAAAGTGCCAGTTGGATATTCAAAATATATAGTGAAAACCTACCTGAGACCGCTTAAATGAAGGTGAGACCCCCCTGGTCTTGCAATGTCCATAAAATTCAACATAATCATAGACTCTGTATATGTAAAGGTTGTATTAGAAGGATTTCCCAGAATAATGTCATCTTCGATATCTACGGAGGGCTTAGATTGTCACTTTTCAGCTAAAAATTGTCAAAATTTTAGGACAAAGGGCACAGGGCAATGGTGAGAGCCCCCTGATCTCTCAATCTTTCTAATATTAGGCAGACATATAGTTAATAGGTAGATACAAACGTGACTAAAAGGAATTTGGGTTCACTTTCTGTCTTCCATGTTTACGGAGCGCCCAAAGTGCCAGTTGGATATTCAAAATATATAGTGAAAACTTACCTGAGACCGCTTAAATGAGGGTGAGACCCCCCTGGTCTTTTAATGTCCATAAAATTCGACTAAATCATAGACTCTGTATATGTAAAGGTTGTATTAGAAGGATTTCCCAGAATAATGTCATCTTCGATATCTACGGAGGGCTTAAATTGTTACTTTTCGGCTAAAAATTGTCAAAATTTTAGGACAAAGGGCACAGGGCAATGGTGAGAGCCCCTGATCTCTCAATCTTTCTAATATTAATCAGACATTTAGTTAATAGGTAGATACAAACGTGACTAAAAGGAATTTGGGTTCACTTCCTGTCTTCCATGTTTACGGAGCGCCCAAAGTGCCAGTTGGATATTCAAAATATATAGTGAAAACCTACCTGAGTCCGCTTAAATGAGGGTGAGACCTCCCTGGTCTTTCAATGTCCATAAAATTCAACATAATCATAGACTCTGTATATGTAAAGGTTGTATTAGAAGGATTTCCCAGAATAATGTCATCTTCGATATCTACGGAGGGCTTAGATTGTCACTTTTCAGCTAAAAATTGTCAAGATTTTAGGACAAAGGGCACAGGGCAATGGTGAGAGCCCCCTGATCTCTCAATCTTTCTAATATTATGCAGACATTTAGTTAATAGGTAGATACAAACGTGACTAAAAGGAATTTGGGTTCACTTTCTGTCTTCCATGTTTACGGAGCGCCCAAAGTGCCAGTTGGATATTCAAAATATATAGTGAAAACTTACCTGAGACCGCTTAAATGAGGGTGAGACCCCCCTGGTCTTTTAATGTCCATAAAATTCAACTTAATCATAGACTTTGTATTTGTAAAGGTTGTATTAGAAGGATTTCCCAGAATAATGTCATCTTCGATATCTACGGAGGGCTTAGATTGTCACTTTTCAGCTAAAAATTGTCAAAATTTTAGGACAAAGGGCACAGGGCAATGGTGAGAGCCCCCTGATCTCTCAATCTTTCTAATATTATGCAGACATTTAGTTAATAGGTAGATACAAACGTGACTAAATGGAATTTCGGTTCACTTTCTGTCTTCAATGTTTACGGAGCGCCCAAAGTGCCAGTTGGATATTCAAAATATATAGTGAAAACCTACCTGAGACCGCTTAAATGAAGGTGAGACACCCCTGGTCTTTCAATGTCCATAAAATTCAACTTAAT